GCCCCAAGTGCCAGCTCGCGAGGTTGCTGAGGCTGCATCAGTCTCGTCGTCTGTTGGGGGGCCAAGGATTGCATACCCGGACGGCTTCAGTTACGCCCGAACTGAGTGTCAGACTGCTATGCTGCAGGGTATGCAGAACTTTGTGCCCCCTGCAGACCGGCTGCGTGCAAAGGGGCACGTTCAGCAGCATGAAAGGCATGCTGCTTTAATAAAGCTGATGGATGTAAGTATACTTGGCGAGCTAATTACTACATTTTATCGTGTTTTTGCTATAAACTGACGAGTGAACATGTATTGCAGGCGTTCAGCTACATTGTCGCACTCTTCGAGTGCGAGCAGAGGGCTCGGGCGCAGAACAACGAGCTCCAACAGAGTTGTAAACAACTGGCCTCTGAGAAAGCCAGTTTGGCTGACAAGGTCAGTCGTTTACAAAGCTCGGAGATGGCTAACCGAGCGGCGTCAGCAGAGAGCCGAGCTGACGAGCTGGCCCGTAAGGTTAACGAGCTGAAGGAGGAGCTCGTGAGGGCGCGAGTGGAGAAGGAAAGTGGCATCCAAGCTGCCAAGGAGAAGGCGGAGTCTGACAGAGAGAAGACTCTGCACGAGCTGAGCTCCCTGAGGGAGAGGGTGGTGCAAGCCGACCAACACGTCGCCCAAGCTGAGGCGTCCCTGGAGAGGACCAAGAGGGCCCACCAGCGCGACGTCTGCTTTGCTCGCGCACAGGGGGCTGAATGGCTGGTGGGAGCAGAGATGTTCTAGGACGCTGTTGCAGTTGCCTTTGCCAACACTACCACGGACATTTTCAACGAGGTTCATAGGAAGGTGCTGCAAGTTCGGGCTGATTTTCCCATCGGTGAGCTGGCTTTCTTTGAAGGCGAGGAGATTAACGAAGAAGGAAAGAGCCTCGCCCCGCCAGCGGACACCCAGGTGAGGTTGAGATGGGAGCTGAACAAGGAGGGGCTGCCCGTATGGCCCCCTTCTGTGATCGAAGAGGGGGAGGACACAGAGGGGTTGCCAAGTTTTGACGCTTGGGTGGCAAACCCCCATGATGTGCCTGCTGAGCCTTCCAGCACTCCCCCCTCTGCTCAGCCTCAACCCGCACCAGGCGCTACTCCTGTTCACTCTCCTACCCTTCCTCCTCCAGATCGGTCATCACCAGCTCGATCTGCTACTGCCCCAAATGACGCATCCATCCCCGTCGACCTGACGGATGATTAGCTTAGGGTTTTTACTTTTTCTTTTGTATTTCCATGTAAATCAATGAACTCATTCCGTATGTACTACACATGTAAACACTCATTGATGGAATACAAATTCGCATATTTTCTTTCAAAATTTCTGTGTATATTGCTGCGTGCTGTTTTATACACCGTTCTTTACATTTGATTGAGGATAACCTAAATTAAAATAATGACATCGGAATGCTAACTAGAAAACTTTCTAAGGTTGTGTATGTTCCAAATGAATGGTAGTGAACGACCTTGTAAATCTGCTAATTGGTAACACCCAGGTCGTTTAACACAAATAACCATATAAGGACCTTCCCAATTAGGAGCGAGCTTGCCCATGTGCGAATAAACATTGGTTAGTCCTGCTTTGCGTAGAACCAGATCGCAGACCGAAAACGGCGAACCCCAAACCCCCTAGTAAAAAAATTTGCCAAAACAACCCGAAGCCACAAAATTCCCAATCCAAAAAACCCCCCGAACCCCTCCAAAAAGGCCAAAGTCCCCCCAAAAAAGTGCCCAATGGTAACAACAGCCGGCCCAACCGCCCTAACAGAAGGCAAACCCAACCCCAACGGGAAGAACGCCCCAACCCCAAAAACAAAGCCGAAAGGGGTTTCGCCTATGGCCGAGCTGGGCGTAGTGCAACAAGACCAAAGCACTTTATTGAGCTCGTCAACCCAATTAGAACGCGCGGCTAAAACACGCGTCTTAAGGCCCCACAAGACAATCTTATTGGCGGACTCGGCCTATCCGTTTGACTAAGGAGTATATACAGACGTCAAGGAGAGCTCAATGCCATAGTCGTTGCAGAACGACCTCAGTGCGGCGGCCCGGAACTGCGGACCATTATCAGCGATGATCCGTTTAGGTATGCCAAACCTGAAAACAGATAACCGAGCTAAGCCGCAGATTGTACTTATATACAGTGTGCCAATGGCTTAAGTCACCAAAGAATACCTGCATAATATTGAATTGAACAGGAATTCCTCTATTTTCTTTTCTGTCGTCGTGGATAGGGGTTTGGCTTTTATCCATTTTGTGAAGTAATCCACTACAACAACGAGGTACATGCAACCTCCTTTTCCTTTCACAAAAGGGCCGAGCAGGTCGACTCCCCATTGAGCAAAAGGCCAAGGATATGAGAGCGGTGAGAGTGCTTCTCCTGTTTCAACGTAGAATTTTATGCTTAGTTAACAGACAAACATGGAGTTTGCACAAACTTCAGAACGAGCTCAGATACCTGGCATGTGAATGTCATCAGCATTGAACTGGCAGGTCGGGCATTTTTTGACATAGTTCTGTGCATCCTCAACCATAGTCGGCCAGTAATACCCATGCCTCAAGAGCTTACTAGCTAAGGTTTTGCCTCCAATGTGCGTGCCACATACTTCTTCATGGATTTCTCTCACAGCATATTCAGCTTCATAAGGAGTGAGACAACGTAATAGGGGCATAGAGGCTGCCCGCTTGTAGAGCTGATTATCTATCAAAGTAAAATGAGCCGCCCTGCGTTTAATCAACTTGGCAGCAGATGGATCTTCAGGCAGCTCACCACTTTGCAGATAATTTATGAGCGGGGTGGTCCAGCTCGGTGCAGAGGGATCTGTGCTTAGCAGCTGACATTCGACTGTGGAATCAGTGTAGCTCGGTGCGTCGAGTATCTCGACAATTGTCAATCTCTGAGGGTTAAGGTCCTGCGAAGAGGCCAACTTTGACAGCTCGTCAGCTTGGTGGTTATCTGCTCTTGGTATTTTATCAATTTGGAAAAGGACAAATATTGACTTCAATCTGTTGACCACAGAGGCATAACGACCGAGCTGGGGATCCCTGATTTCACAACTGCCATTCACCTGGCCACAACGAGCTGAGAGTCGCTGAAAACCTAAATGCTTTGTACCTTTAGCTCGGACGCCAGCTTCAGTCCGTAAATGAGGGCTTCATATTCTGCAGCGTTATTAGTTGTTTGAAACTTAAACCTCAGTGCGTGCTCAGACTTAAAGCCATCTGGGCCCACTAACACAGCCCCTGCACCCGATCCTTCAATGTTAGCAGCTCCATCAACATACAAAACCCAGACTGGGTGTTCGGGTGCTTTTTTTTCCTTAGTTGCTGAGATGCACTCCACCAGAAAGTCTGCAACGGCCTGGCCTTTTATGGTTGTGCGTGGCTGAAATTTGAGGTCATATTCACTCAGCTCGACGCTCCACCCAATAAGCCGACCAGAGAGTTCAGGTTTCTGCAGTATTTTTCTCAATGGCAAATCGATATAGACAACAATCTAATGTGATTGGAAATAAGCCCTCAACTTACGAGCTGTGTAAACCAGGGCAAAGGCAGCCTTTTCTGCTAATGGGTAGTTCTGCTCTGCATCTTGTAAAACCTTGCTCACGTAACAGATGGGCTTCTGATTCTTATTGTCTTCCCTGAGCAAGACTGAGCTCACTGCCTCCTTCGTAACCCCCATGTATAGATATAAACTCTCCCCTTCCATAGGCTTGGACAGCAGGGGTGCGGATGCCAGATACTGCTTGAGCTCATCAAACGCCCGCTGACACTCGTCAGTCCATTGAAAATGCTTGGGCTCTCTCAAGGCTTTGAAAAATGGTAGGCACCTTTCCGCCGACCTGGCTATGAATCTGTGCAACGCGGCTACACGACCTGTCAGGCGCTGCACGTCCTTTACAGTCCTGGGAGGCTCCATCTGCTGCACGGCCAGAACCTTCTCTGGGTTCACTTCAATTCCTTTCTTAGATACCACGTACCTTAGGAATTTTCCTAATTCTACAGCAAACGTGCACTTCAGGGGATTCAGCTTCATTTGGGCTCGGCGCAAGTTTTGAAAGGTCTCACTCAGGTCGTCTATATGATCCTCAGCTCGTGCACTGGTGACTATCATGTCATCCACATATACTTCTATGTTCCTGCCGATCTGCAGCTTGAAGATGATTTGCACCAGCTTCTGATATGTAGCGCCAGCATTTTTCAAGCCAAACGGCATCATGACATAGCAGTAGATCGCATCACCAGCATAGAAAGCTATTTTCTCCTGATCATCTAGCAGTAACTGAACCTGGTGATACCCTGAGCTAGCGTCAAGGAAACTCATCCGCTCATGCCCGGCTGCCTGCTCTACTAGCTTTTCAACATTTGGCAAGGGGTGAGGGTCTTTTGGACACGCCTCGTTTAGGTTGGTGAAGTCAATACACATCCTCCACTTGCCATTCGGTTTTTTGACGAGCACAGGGTTGGACACCCACTCAGAGTATTCCACTCTCCTGATGAAGCTTGCCTGTAGTAGCTTTTGTATTTCTTCATCTATAGCAGCCTGCTTCTCAAGGCCAAAAAGGCGACGCTTCTGTACCACCGGCCTTTTGGTGGGGTCCGTGCTGAGTTTGTGGACTGTCAACTCTGCCGGGATGCCAAGCATTTCATCTGTAGTTCATGCAAACACATCTTGATTGACTCTCAAAAACTCCAGAAGCTCTGCTCGTTCTTTTTTTGTGAGCTTGGTGCCGATCTTGACTGTTCTTTCCGGCATATCAGAGTTTAAAAGAACGGTTTTTACTGGCTCTACCGGCTCTACTTTCTGCTCGACACCCTCAGGTCTATGCTCAATGTCCGATATGCTCACTATCTGTTGGCCGGGCTGAGTCGGCCTTCTACTTTCAGAGGAGTCTCCTAGGGCTACAGCGAACTCAACCTTCTTAAATGTATCTTGATAACATGCCCTTGCCATCTTCTGATTCCCCTTTAGCACTCCTACCCCCTGAGGCATTGGGAATTTCATGCAGAGATAGGGTTGTGAGATAACAGCCTTCAGCTCGCACAGAGTGGCCCTTCCTAATATGGCGTTGAAGGCTGACTCCATTTTGACGACCAGGAAGCTGACTAAAGCCATCCTGAAGCGTGGTTCTGAACCCACATAAATGGGAAGTGTAATTACTCCCTCCACTGGAACGGGTTGATTGTCAAACCCATAGATAGGCCCTTCATATTTTTGTAACGAGCTGGGGTTCAGCTGCATCTTTTGAAAGCAGCTCCAATACAGGATATCGGACGAGCTGCCAGTGTCAATGAAGACCTTATTGACGTTATGATTGCCTATATGAACTGTTGCTACAAAAGGATCTGCATGAGGCATCACGACGTCAGGCTCTCCTGCTCGTTGGTAATCTGCCGGGCTAAACGTTATAGCCGCATTCTCCCACTCCGCTTCCTCAAATGGGCGCTTAAGAGGCCGGTTCTTATTTACTGTCATCACCTGGCGAGCGTATGCCTTACGGCCTCGGGCGCTTTGACCTCCTGCATGCATACCACCACAGATCATATTGATTGTGCCAGATGGCGGGGGTATTCCACCATACCCGACCCCTCTGTGGTCCTTTTGGTTCTGTGCAGGTGCTTTCTGTCCTTGTCCACGCCTATTGAACGGGCGTCCCCTGTATGCTCGGTTCGGCTCAGATGAGTATGGACCTGCCTGGTAAGAATTTGGACTGCTACTGAGCGTATATCCAGGTGCTTGAGATCGGCCGTACTCTTGTACAAAGTGGGTCTGGGTGGGTTGCCGAACAAAAGGCTTCTACGCATACCCCTCCAATTTCCCATTGCGAGCCAAGAATTCGAGCTCGTCCTTCAGACTCTGACAGTCTTCTGTGTTATGGCCGTAGACACGGTGATAGTCGCAGTATTTGCTTCTGTCAGCTTGTGAAGAATCGTGCGTTTGTGGAGGGGGTCTCTTGACCCAATGCTGTATCTGTGCCAATATTTGGGATCGTGACGAGCTCAGGGGGATGTAGCTATCATATTTTGGATAGGAAGGCGGTTTCCCTCTCTGCTCGCCAACCTTCTGTTTCTTCTTGTCATCTCTGTTTTCAGGCTGCTTGGGCTCTTTTCCCTGCTTGTCATCAGCTCGTCTCTTAGAAAATTGAAAATCTTCGGACAATATGAAGCTTGCCGACCTGTCATTTACTTCATTCCACGACTTGGGTGGATTCTCCAACAGGTCGTCCAAAAACCGGCCAGGCTTCAGGCCATGCAACAAGGCAGATAAGCAAATGGTATCGGGGATGTTATCAATGTCCAAAGTAGCTTTGTTGAATCGTTTCATGTAATCCCTCAAAGATTCTCCCTCTTTCTGATGAACATGCATTAGTTCGGTTGCTGTACGTTTAATCTCCCTTTGGCTCGCAAATTTGTTGGAGAATAGCTTGGCGAGCTGGGAATATGAGTCTATGGAATGTCTAGGGAGTTTGTGATACCATCTCCTGGCTGTTGACTTGAGTGTTGCTGGGAACACTTTGCACATCATGGCATCATTGGCATTCTGGATTCTCATGATGGCTTGATAAGTGTGCAGATGTTCATCAGGGTCGCCCGAGCCATCATATGTCTCCAGGTGGGGAATTTTGAATCCCTCTTGATACGGCTCTGTTGTAATAGATAGGTTTAAAGGAGCACTGTCCAACTCAAGAGTCTGTTGGTGCGACCTGGGACTTTTCAACTCGTCGATAGATTTCTGTACGTCCCTTAGCTGCCTTTCCAGGTTTGCATTTTTCCTCATCAGTTCTTCACTATGTTTGGACGTGCTGGGCTCGTTATTTAGCTTCCCGCTTCCCTCGACCTGGTCGGCACCACTATGTTGCTCAGAGTAGGGGAGTTTCGAGTTGCAACAACCGCAGCTGGCTGTGCATCCTTGTTCAACAATGGAATCAAGGGGTCGTCAGGAATCAGGCGGGCAAGGATTTTACCCATTGCCATTTCGAGAATTCTAGTTTTCTCTTCGAGCTCGGTTGTCCGAGCGGGTTCTATTGATCTCTCAAGTCGTTCATGCTGTGAATTGTACTGTCTAGAAGGTCTTTGTCTTGTTCTTGTTGGAACTTGGAAAGGTTCGGGCTGAGTTGCATACCCAGTTGGTGTTCTCTCATCATCATCTGTTTCACTTAGGTGATCCTGTTCTGCTCCCCCGACGAAAAGGTTTCTTGGCATTGGCCTAAAGTCATTCAAGCCGGGCTCAGATACTTGAGCGTCCTCCTGTTCGTCCATTTCATTTCTTGGAGGGCGACCTCCTGTAAAGGTACGAACCATATTGTCTTTCAGCAAGTTAAGCCACGCAACTTCTTGTTCGAGTGCCCACAGACGGCGCCAAATGTTTGGGCAGCTTCACAATCCAACACTGTTGAAGTCCTCAGCTGCTCATACACCTATAAATCTCGAGGATGTTCCTCGGGGAAAACACTCCGACGCTCAAGTCAGCAATACTCAAGGTTCTAGAGAGAGATGTTCTCAAGGAGTAATTGCAGAGAGAAAAGCGTAGAGCTTAATTACCTCCATTGTTGGTGGTTGGGGGGTATTTATAGCCCCAAATGCTTACATGCATCAATATATGTAAGTACCCCATTGGCCCACGTGGTGGTGCTCACGTGGGTATGTCTCCTTCTCTTGGGCTTGTGTGTGCATAGTTGGGCTTGCTAGGTGCGGCCCGAAGCGGGCGTTGGGCCTAATCCCAACAGAAACCAAGGTGCCTTTAGTCAAAAATTATTTTTTTTTTGAACAATGGGAATTTTTCTTCGAGGGGATGGGGAAGGAGGGACTTGAGTTTGAACCCAAGTTCAACTAGTCCTAAGGACGTCCTGCTTTGCAGGGAGGCCAGTTGGCCTCCAAGTGCTGGACGCCTTTAGTCAAATTTGGCTTTCTCTGAAAACGAAAAACATATCCGCAATCCGTGGGTATGGATAAAAAATAGAAATTAAAAATGTAATAATTATATTTTTAATAATTAATTTATATAAAAATAATAAAAATTAATTTTTATTTAATATTATTATATAAATAATTTTAATTATTTAATTAAATTTAAATTAATTTTATTATTTTTATATAAATTAATTATTAAAAAATATTTACTATATCGTTAATGTTTCTCACAAGCGAACACATAAAAAGGCCCAAAGTACAAGCAAGGTGGCGAAATAATTCAGCACCTTGCTTATATTATTATCCTGTTCCTGTCTGTCCCACTGCTTTTACTTTTGGGTTTCCTTTCTATCGAAAGGAAACTGCTGTTTACTTTTGGAAACCAAAGCGCAATCCCATTAGTCAAATTCGGCTCTCTGAAAAATAAAAACAAACGCGCCATCCACGGGTGTGGATAAAAAATAAAGGCAAAAGATGCAGATCACCCCCTTAACTCACTCGCTGGTGGCAAATCACCCCCTCAACCTACTTTACGCGCAGATCACTCCCTCAACTCACCTGCAGTGGCAAATCACCCCCTCAAGTAATGCCAGCACCATCCTTCTGTTAGCTTTTAATAGTCCGTTCACCCACCCCTCTTTTGCATCTAATGTGGCAGTTTTGTGCTAAGATGGACAAGCCACCTGGACAAATACCCCAAAATTACTTTTATGTCCTTAAATTCTAGGGAAATAAAAAAGGGGATTTGGGTATTTAGGGTTTTACCTCGTTTGTCAGCTTCCTTGCCAATTAAATCCACCAACTAATTTGAATTCCAAATGCCAATTAAAATTTTGAATACAAATGTTTAGACATAGGTAGTATTGAATAACAAGGTCAATTTGAAAAATATGCAACTGGTTGCTACCCACAATTTCAACGAAAACACAACTAGATTGGTTAGAAAGTGGCGAAAATAAAAATCACAGCTAATTAAGCTTTTCTTCCTCATTGGTGATATTATGCAAAACCCATTACCCTCGTTGTAGACTTCAACCTCAAAACATAATATCATAAAAAAAACCGATAGCCATAAAAATAAATATAAAAAAACCATTAACACAAACTCAAGGGTGCAAGCGCACAGCTTGAATCATATTTCTTTGTCTTGAACAAAAAAATATACACACACACCTTTGGAGCTGAAGAAAAAGAAGGGAGAAATGGATCAATCCTCGATGGAGAAACTGATCTAGTGACTTGGGAACCGGACAGAATCGCGACGATCACCATCAATCGGCCTAAGTCCCTCAACTCGTTGACCCGGGCAATGATGAAGAATCTTGCTCAAGGGTTCAAGGCCCTGGGAAAGGACAATTCCATACGGGTTATAATCCTTACAAGGTCAGGTCGGGCGTTCTGTTCTAGCGTCGATCTAACGGCGGCGGAGGACGTGTTTAAGGGTGATGTGAAGGACCTGGAGTCTAATACTGTTGCCCAGATGGAACGGTGCCCCAAACCCATTATCGGAGCCATTAACGGGTTCGCAGTCACCGCCAGGTCACAAGCAATGTTTTCAAAACCGGACCGGTCATTGAACCGTTTTCAGGTCTGGTTCCCGGTTTGACCGGTTCAACCGGTTAAACCGGTGAACCGGTCGGTTTAAACAATAAGGAAGGTTTGATGAGAGGAGCAAGCTATAAGCATGGATTTTTTTATTTGGTGTTGATAATTTTGTAATTTTGTTAAAGTTAAAGGTTAAAATGGGTATAAGAAAGGAAT